ATGGTTCTTATCCTTCTATTTGTTAATATGGTATATCACATTGATTGATTTTCATATATTGAAGAATCCTTCCATTCCTGGGATAAACCCCACTTGATCATGGTGTATGATCCTTTTAATGTGCTGTTGGATTCTGTTTGCTAGTATTTCGTTGAGGATTTTTATATCTATGTTCATCAGTGATATTGGCCTGTAGTTTTCTTTCTTTGTGACATCTTTGTCTGGTTTTGGCATCAGGGTGATGGTGGCCTCAAAGAATGAGTTTGGGAGTGTTCCTCCTTCTGCTATATTCCGGAAGAGTTTGAGAGGATGGGTGTTAGCTCTTCTATAAATGTTAGACAGAATTCGCCTGTGAAGCCGTCTGGTCCTGGGCTTCTGTTTGTTGGAAGATTTTTAACCAAGTCTCAATTTCAGTGCTTGTGATTGGTCTGTTTATATTTTCTATTTCTTCCTAGTTCAGTCTCAGATGGATGTGCTTTTATAAGAATTTGTCCATTTTATTGCCATATAGTTGCTTGTAGTAATCTCTCATGATCCTTGTATTTCTGCAGTGTCAGTTGTTACTTCCCCTTTTTCATTTCTAATTCTATTGATTTGAATCTTCTCCATTTTTTTCTTGATGAGTCTGGCTTATGGTTCATCAATTTTGTTTATCTTCTCAAAGAACCAGCTTTTAATTTTATTGATCATTGCTATCGTTTCCTTCATTTCTTTTTCATTTATTTCTCATCTGATCTTTATGATTTCTCTCCTTCTGCTAACTTTGGGGTTTTTTTGTCATTCTTTCTCTGATTGCTTTAGGTGTAAGGTTAGGTTGTTTATTTGAGATGTTTCTTGTTTCTTAAGGTAGGATTGTATTGCTATAAACTTCCCTCTTAGAACTGCTTTTGCTGCATCCCATAGGTTTTGGGTCATCGTGTTTCCCTTGTCATTTGATTCTAGGTATTTTTTGATTTCCTCTTTGAGCTCTTCAGTGATCTCTTGGTTATTAAGTAGTGTATTGTTTGGCCTCCATATGTTTGTATTTTTTACAGATTTTTTCCTGTAATTGATATCTAGTCTCATAGCATTGTGGTCACAAAAGATACTTGATACGATTTCAATTTTCTTAAATTTACTAAGGGTTGATTTGTGACCCAAGATATTATCTATCCTGGAGAATGTTCCATGAGCACTTGAGAAGAAAGTGTATTCTGTTGTTTTTGGATGGGACGTCCTATAAATATCAACTAAGTCCATCTTGTTTAATGTATCATTTAAAGCTTGTGTTTCCTTAATTATTTTCATTTTGGATGATCTGCCCATTGGTGAAAGTGGGGTGTTAAAGTCCCCTACTATGATTGTGTTACTGTCGATTTCCCCTTTTATAGCTGTTAGCATTTGCCTTATGTATTGAGGTGCTCCTATGTTGGGTGCATAAATATTTATAATTGTTATATCTTCTTCTTGGATTGATCCCTTGAACATTATGTAGTGTCCTTCTTTGTCTCTTGTAATTGTCTTTGTTTTAAAGTCTATTTTGTCTGATATGAGAATTGCTGCTCCAGCTTTCTTTTGATTTCCATTTGCATGGAATATCTTTTTCGATCCCCTCACTTTCAGTCTGTATGTGTCTCTAGGTCTGAAGTGGGTCTGCCGTAGACAGCATATGTATGGGTTTTGTTTTTGTATCCATTCAGCCAGTCTATGTCTTTTGGTTGCAGCATTTAATCCATTTACATTTAAGGTAGTTATTGATATGTATGTTCCTATTACCATTTTCTTAACTGTTTTGGGTTTGGTTTTGTAGGTCTTTTTCTTCTCTTGTGATTAATGCCTAGAGAAGTTCCTTTAGCATTTGTTGTAAAGCTGGTTCGGTGGTGCTGAATTCTCTTAGCTTTTGCTTGTCTGTAAAGGTTTTAATTTCTCCGTCGAATCTGAATGAGATCCTTGCTGAGTAGAGTAATCTTGGTTGTAGGTTTTTCCCTTTCAACACTTTAAATACATCCTGCCACTCCCTTCTGGCTTGCAGAGTATCTGCTGAAAGATCAGTTGTTAAGCTTATGGGGATTCTCTTGTGTGTTATTTGCTATTTTTCCCTTGCTGCTTTTAATGTTTTCTCTTTGTATTTAATTTTTGATAGTTTGATTAATATGTGTCTTGGCGTGTTTCTCCTTGGATTTATCCTGTATGGGACTCTCTGCCCTTCCTGGACTTGATTGACTATTTCCTTTCCCATATTAGGGAAGTTTTCAACTATAATCTTCAAATATTTTCTCAGTCCCTTTCTTTTTCTCTTCTTCTTCTGGGACCCCTATAATTTGAATGTTGATGCGTTTAATGTTGTCCCAGAGGTCTCTGAGACTGTCCTCAATTCTTTTCATTCTTTTTTCTGCTCTGCAGTAGTTATTTCCACTATTTTATCTTCCAGGTCACTTATCCATTCTTCTGCCTCAGTTATTGTACTATTGATTCCTTCTAGAGAATTTTTAATTTCATTTATTGTGTTGTTCATCATTGTTTGTTTGCTCTTTAGTTCTTCTAGGTCCTTCTTAAACGTTTCCTGTATCTTCTCCATTCTATTTCCAAGAGTTTGAATCATCTTTACTATCATTACTCTGAATTATTTTTCAGGTGACTGCCTATTTCCTCTTCATTTGTTTGGTCAGGTGGGTTTATACCTTGCTCCTTCATCTGCTGTGTGTTTCTCTGTCTTCTCATTTGGCTTAACTTGCTGTGTTTGGGGTCTCCTTTTCGCAGGCTGCCGGTTTGTAGTTCCCATTGTTTTTGGTGTCTGCCCCCAGTGGCTAAAGTTGGTTCAGTGGGTTGTGTAGGCTTCCTGGTGGAGGGGACTAGTGACTGTGTTCTGGTGGATGAGGCTGGATGTTGTCTTTCTGGTGGGCAGGTCCACGTCTGGTGGTGTGTTTTGGGGTGTCTGTGGACTTATTATGATTTCAGGCAGCCTCTCTGCTAATGGGTGGGGCTGTGTTCTAGTCTTGCTAGTTGTCTGGCAAGGGGTGTCCAGCACTGGAGCTTGCTGGTTGTTGAGAGGAGCTGGGTCTTAGCATTGAGATGGAGATCCCTGGGAGAGCTTTCGCTGTGTGATATTACGTGGAGAAGGGAGGTCTCTGGTGGACCAAGGTCCTGAACTCGGCTCTCCCACCTCAGAGGCACAGGCCTGACACCCGGCCAGAGCACCAGGACTCTGTCAGTCACACGGCTTTTGGGAAGTCTGAGGTCTTCTGCCAGCGTTCAGTAGGTGTTCTGTAGGAGTTGTTCCACATGTAGTTGTATTTCTGATGTATTTGTGTGGAGGAAGATGATCTCCACCTTTTGCTCCTCCGCCATCTTGAAGGTCTCTCCAACAAAACTGATAGTGTGACTTGTTCAGGTATGTTGTTCATTCTGTGGCTTCCATTGTGCAGGTCCAGAGTCACTCATTTGTTAGCAACACATACATATCTTCAAAGGCAACGCTGCTCCAGGGACCAGTGCAAAGCAGTCACTGGTCGTCCAGACCTCGTGTCGGGGAGGCTGGTCTGCTTGTCCTGGAGCTTCGGCCTGAGAGGCAGGCATCCGATGTAGCACTTAGCTAGATTTGCTGCCTGGTGGGCACCGTCTCTGACTTTCTCTCCCTGCCTGGCTCTCTCTGGGGCGCCATCTTTTTTTTTAAATCATAGAATCTTAATGCTAATACAGAGGACCTTGGAGATGATATTGTTAAATAGCCTTATTTTACAAAAAGGCAACAAAGAGGTGAACTGCCACAGAAATAGTTACTGGAAAATCTAGAACTTGAATATAGTTTTCAGGATTTCAAGACAAGAGCTAATTTAAACATGCCACTTACAATGGTAATATTAACAGATTAGTCAACCAAAAAAAAAAAAAGCTATTTAGCCCGCAGTATGGCTAAAACATCTAGCAATGAACAATCTGTAGGCAACAACAGCATTGCAGTAATCATTATTAGAGTAACCCAAAAGTTATTATGTTGAAAAGAAGTTTTTTAAAATAATACTGGTTAATACTGCTAAGTTAACTAAAAAGTGATGGGAAGGTCTATTAATAATTTCTGTGGGGATTCTTAAAGGAAACTTAAAAGCTCTTAAGAGGCTGGTGATCCTAGTTCTTTAATGTCTAACTTCACCATACAACTTAGGACTTTCCTTTCCATGAGAGGTCTATACCAAAAATATGATTCAAACTTATCAGGCATAACTAAGGTTGTTTGGGACCTCTCCATTAACTGCCAACTCTTTAAGTTAAGATTTGTAAATCTGTCCTGAGAATGCTAGAAGAGACATGCTCTGTATTAGAGATGATGCAACACACAAGACTGCTAAATTTTATTCTCTTGAAATAGAAATTACATATATGATTCTGTAATTTCCCTCATTTCATAAATTTTCCTCAATTTTTCAAGGGTGTTTCCTTTAATATCAAATTTAAGCAGCTGGATTTACATGCAGAAAACCATCGGTGATACTCATGCCTCCTCCATCTTTACTTGTCTGGTGTGATCAACTCCTAGATCTCCCATGATCTGAGGCCTTTTCCTGTTCTCTTTCCCATCTTCCTCCTCTAATTAGACTTGAGGCTGAAAACAGGATGATTAACCCTCTCATGACCATGCTGATGTTTCTCATACTAAATTAGGCAGTTTTTTCTTAAGTAGGAAGTAGATTCTCAGTTGTAAACTTCAAGGATTGTCTTACAGTTAACAATTCAAGGAAACTACCAATTAGCTATTTTAAGTCTTCACTACAAAGAGACAGAATTTCCATATATAGTTACCACTGGATAAGATACATTTCATAAAGGCAGCATTGCGAAGATGAAAGGAGATATTTTTATTCTCTTTAAAGCTGAAAACACAAAACGATCCAGATAGCTTTTTCAGCAGTTACAAATAGAGTGTGTTATTTTTCAAACTCTATTAAAGTCAATTACTTTGTGAGCCTGCGAGTCAGAATTTTCCATGATAATGAATTAAATGGGCGAAGCAACACCATACATACCCTGAGTGGCTGTTGGGGGTAGCTGGAGGCTACTGTCTAGCTTCTCCCAAAGGTAAGTTGGTCGAGGAGTGCCTTCCTCTGAGCTACAGAGCAGGATGACATCGCTGCCAATATCCTGGGGTCCTTGGATTTGGCAGTGTGGGGCAGAAGGAGGAACTATAATAGGAAGGGTAAGCAATAAAGAATTCATTTACCATGAGTCAAATGATGACAGAGGAGACATCAACATTCAGCACTAGAACCTCAGGTAACACTGTTTTGGGGACACATATCAGAAGACTACCTCATGAGCAAAGCCAGTGGATGGTATGTACGATGCACAGGTTTGGCCATAGGTGCAGGGCCTACAACTTCAGCTGGCAGGGAGCAAATATGTATAAGGGGCAACACCCTCAGATTATATTTTTAAGATACCTTATAACTTTAGTTTCATTCTTCTTCCTCCAAAGAAGTATTCGAAGAATTCTTAAGATCCTTCATGTCAACATATTGCTTTTAAAAGCATTACTGAATACACACATGTTCAGAGCAGCATTATTCACAATAGCTGAAAGGTGGAAACAACCCAAGTGTCCATAGAGGGATGGAAGGCTAAACAAAATATAGTGTATACGTACAATGGAATATTATTTAACCTTGAAAGTAAGGAAATTCTGACACATGCTACAACATGGATGAACCTTGAGAACATGCTAAGTGAAATAATTCAGTTATAAGAAGACAAATAATGTATGATTCCACTTATATGCAGCACCTAGGGTACTCAAATTCATAGAAAAAGAAAACAGAACAGTGGTTTCCAGCTGCTGAGTGGAGGGAGAAATGTCATTTAATGAGCAGAATTTTATTTTTGTAAGCTGAAGAAAGTTCCGGAGATTGGTTGCACAACAATGTGAATATACTAAATTGTTCACTTAAAAATTGGCTAAAATGGTAAATTTTGTTATATTTTACCACAATTAAAATTTTTTAATTGATGAAAGAGCCCCCTTGTAAAGAAGATATCTCAAGGAACAGCATCCACTTACCCTGCCGGCTACTCTCGGCTAAGACCACCTTACCATAGTTCTTTGTTACTTTACAAACAAAACCAGACACACCAACATTATACCAACTTCTGTTTTATGGTGGGAGGAGTCAGAGCAAGGTTCAAGTATATCTAGTACTTGATAGTAATGCAATGGACATTTTATAATCATTAATACAGATAAGGACACAAAGGATGTGAAACAAAAAATTACAAAAAACAAAAGAATATTAAAGGAAGAAGGTGATAGTTTATAGTGAAAAAGCAAGCAAATAAAAATATAAACTAAGCCCATGGCTTGGATTCTCATATTTGATAATGCATATAGTAGAGTTTAAATACAAGTGATGATGCACTTGTAATGCTAATGACTTTTTAATAAATGTGTTCAACCTTGCAAAAATGAATGAATGAGTGGAAAATGAATGCACTACACAGAGGAACCAGCAAAGAAAATGGGTGGGGGAAGAGAGAACAATGAAAGGGTTAGGTAGAAAGACTGAAAAATCTCAAGGAATCTTAACTCCTGTGATGGGATAAACCAATCTCAATTTACTGCTTTAAACATTGCCACCATGAGGCTATGAGGGGAAAGCCAAAATAATTATTTGAAGGTAGTACTAACTATAAGATAAATTACAGGGTTTTTTTCTTCCTTTAAAAAATGAAAAAATAAATGTGGATCATGTGGGAAGCTCACTACCTAAACTATAGGTGTAAGCATCAAAATAATGTTAAATTCCAACAGTACTCTTTATTCAGTACTCAGGGTGCTTTAAAATCTATATAATTTTAATATACTTGAATGAATAATAGTTCTAGGACAGAAATCTCCCACTTGTCCTTGGTTTTCTTATTCTGTTTGAAGACTGGGAGAACAAGGTGCCAGGGCTATAGCATTTTCTTGCCCAAAGAAGGAAAATGGCAAGAACCCCCAACACTGGTATCTTCAAGGGACTCAACAGTGGAAGGGAAAAGGGGGAGAATGTACCAAGGAATCCTGGAGTCGATTCTGAGACTTCAGTAGGATGGAGGACAGTCCAGAGCATCAGGCTTCTCTAAGCACTTCTCATCCTCCCCAGATGAACTGAATTTAGCCACTTCTACCACAAGTACCCATTTAGGAGGCAGCGCTTTATTTCAGAAGCAGCGCAAGTGAGAAATAAAACGTGCTCAGAATGAATTTAATTTAGCATGAGATAGTCTATCTGTATGGTACAATAGAAAGAATACTGGTTTGAGTTACAGAGACCTAAATTTTAAGCTAAACTTTATTGTTGTTCATGGTCTATAAAACCTTGGGAAAGACTCTAAATCTATTTGATCTCGGTATTAAGACCAAACTGATCATATAATTTCTCGTTCAAACAAGGATACTTTTGAGAGTAAAAGGAAGTATTATTAAAATTCTTCCAGGACAAGAGGCAAAAGCTTAGAACTGTCGGGGGCCTACTCAGCATTACATAGATATGAAGTAGTAGTAAATTTATTCTCACGTGTGCTAAAACCCTGCTCCCTGCTTATAATCAATTGTTCTTGATTTAATTTGCTCTCAACAATAAGTCCTATCCTATAAAAGCTTAGGAAAAGTGAGAGGCTAATTTTGATGGTATTTTATACCACCTTTCTCCACCTTGAGGAAAAGTCATTTAACAAGTAAGCTTTCGAGAGCCACCTGAAATGGAGTAATGGGTGGGGAGACTATGTGGAAGAAGCATGGAGAAGCAGAGTCCAGATGGAGCTGAAAGGAGAGAGGACAGGAAAAGGACACAAGCAGAAAGAGAGTACAGAAAAACTGGCAGAAGTAAATATGCTTGAGAGTAAATTCGTAAGTAAAGCCAAGGTAGCTGCAACATTTTCCTGTCACTCACCTAAAACTGTGAGACCGGTGACCCCAATATTCCTGCCCCCTCTATCTGGAAGGTTGTTAACCAAACACTGGTAGGTGCCTGTATCTGATAGCTGGGTGTTGTTAATGAAGATAGAGACATTGGTGGCTGGCATGGTGCCTGTAAATCCTACCCTACCATGGAACCGGGGGGCACCATCAAACATCTGTCCACTTTGATACAGAATGACCTGCAAAGGAAAGCGAAAGAAATAAATTGGCCACTGCATCTCCTTCTAGACACGTAACAATAACTATCTAGTAAACAGCAGACTATACCAAACATTGGAAAATTATATTTCTAATATTAGAGTTGTCACCAACTTTTTTTTTATATTATTTGTTGGGCTTTCTTTTTTCTTTCTCATTTTCTTTTCTTTTCTTTTCTTTTATTAACATCTCTATTGGGTATAATTGCTTTACAACATTCTGTTAGTTTCTGCTGCATAACAAAGTGAATCAGCTATATGTAGACATATATACCCATATCCCCTCCCTCCCACCCTCCCTATCCCACCCCTCTAGGTCACCAACTTTGTACTACAGCACCTATCTGTAGATATCAGGGATTCTAAATTCTTACATACCAAACTGGAATAACATCGTATCCTTACCTAACTCAACAGAATAGAGAAAGTGCATTTTATGATACCTTACTATTAGTTCATAGATACTTTTACCAGTGCAAAAATTAATTCCAGAAAAAATGTTAAAAAAAATTAACACTGCCATTCTCATGCTTACTAGGTCACAAAATGATAGCTCACAGTTATAGATTGAATATAAGTGAACGCCATGAAAGGGAAGAAGAGTTATGAGTCCATGATTGCTTACCTATGTCAATTTCCTTACCAAAGTTAACTCTTCATGGGAGAGGACTCAGAGTGGTACTGCAAAAAGCCCTTTGGGCTGACAGTGAGGTACCTGGTTTTATCTTAGCTCTACCTTAAATGTCTGGCAGATTGTGGTCAAGTCTTTTCTAGCCTCTATCACTGACTCTTAAAATGATGAAGCTGAACAAAATGATCTCAAAGGCTCAGTCTAATTATTAAAGTTCCATGGATTAAGGAAATAGAAGAGGTTACTATTAAATATATCAATTTAAATTTCCTATCAGAAAACTTAGCTTATCAAATATTTTTAGGTAGTGAAAAGCTTACTGAAGCCGAAAAGCTTCATAACAGAAATACGTTAATTTTGGGAATGAAGGTATAGTCATGTTCACAATTCACTAATTTTCCGAGGATTATTTTCTGCAGTGGGTATCGCATATTATGGGATCTTTTACCTATAACTGATACACCTTATTAGATAGCAGCTTCTATTTTCATGTACCCTAATTTATTTGAGAAGCTTGGAAGAGATCTAGCGTGCCTGGCTTTGTTTATTTTAAAATACTTGTGCAATTAACCAAAAAAATCAAGTACTACTACCTAATGTTACTTCCTTAATATTATCACTATATTTATTTATTTTTAATTAATTTATTTTTGGCTGCATTGGGTCTTCATTGCTGTGCGTGGGCTTTCTCTAGTTGTGGCGAACGGGGGCTACTCTTTGTTGTGGTGCACGGGCTTCTCATTGCGGTGGCTTCTCTTGTTGCGGAGCATGGGCTCTAGGCGCGCAGGCTTCAGTAGTTGTGGCTCGTGGGCTCTAGAGTGCAGGCTCAGTAGTTGTGGTACACGGGCTTCTCAATGTGGTGGCTTCTCTTATTGCAGAGCGTGGGCTCTAGGCACATGGGCTTCAGTAGTTGTGGCACGTAGGCTCAGTAGTTGTGGCGCACGGGCTTAGCGCCTCTGCGGCAGGTGGGATCTTCCCAGACCAGGGCTTGAACCCTGGCAGGCAGATTCTTAACCACTGCGCCACCAGGGAAGCCCTATCACTATCTTTAAAAAGTAGTCTCTCATCCACCTATGTTAGTACTAGTCCCTCCCTGTCAAAATATACTTTGCTTTTTCTGTCTTAGTATTTCCTGTCAGCAATGTGTTTTGATGAAATTCCAGGTTCCTACATAAAATCCTCGGAAGGATCCCCTTGACATCTCTTAATTAAAAAAAAAAATATTTTACAAAGAGGATAGCTTCTTCTGATAGTTGACTAATAAAACAGCTTAGGTTCAGTGGAAGTATCACCTTATTCTAGAAATCAAATATGTACTCAAGATGCTTTCCTACCCACCTCTTGTGAAAAGATTAAAATTTCAGAGGTAGCACAGGATGGGACAGAAGTACCTGCTCCGGCTGGTTCGCATTGGAGAGAGGAATGACCATCCAAATGACATTGAGGTTAATGAGGGCAGCGCTGGTAGTGAAAGTACAGGGCAGGACTGCTGTCTGACCCCGGGCCACTTGGACACTCCCAGGGCTCTCGGAGACTTCCAGGGAAGCTGCAACACCTACAGAAGGAGGAACAAAGAGGTTATGTGATAGACCAAATCTCTTCATAAAAGGTCTGTGTGTTTTATATTATCAGTTATGTAAACAGACTGATATAACAGTCTTACTAAACATCTACTGACCACTCACTGAGTCAAAATAATAAAAATTTTTCAACCTTTTACCTCTTAGAAACTATAAAGGAAAAATATTAGAAGACACATTCTATTTTGTAAGACGGTATCTGATATTTGCCAGATTCAAATACAGATTGGGAGAATTCAACTGACAGGGTCTAAGCAAAGCTTTAACGGTGATGAGGGATAAGAAATAAACTGAAAGTATTTTAAAGAATCATCACACAATAGCACACTGTAAAATTAAATGCTTATATATAAATCCAACAAAATATGCTCAGGATGTATATCCTGAAAACTATAAAATGCTGATGAAAGAAATCAAATAAGACTAAATAAATGGATATGCAATGTCCATGGGTTGGAAGAATCAACATTCTTAAGATGCCAATCCTCTCCAAATAGATCTACGATGGAGAGCAATGCCAATCAAAATCGTAGCGTGCTTTTTGCAGATACTGACAAGCTAATTCTAAAACACATGACAAGGCAAAGAACTAGAATAGCCAAAAGAATATTGAAAAACAGGAACAAATTTGGAGACGACGTTACACTATCTGATTTCAAAATTTGCTATAAATTAGCTATAGCAATCGAGACAGTGTAATACTAGCATAAGGACAGAGCATCAGACAAATGGCACAGGCTTGATCGTTCTGAAATAAACCTTATTTATTTATGATCAAATGCTTTTCAACAAAGGTACAAGACAATTAAATGAGGGAAAAATAGTTTTTTCAAAAAATTATTCTGGAACAATTCAATATTAATATGCAAAAAATTTAACTCAGACCCTTACCTCAAAGCATATACAAAAATCGACTCAAAATGTATCATAGACCTAAATGTAAGAGCTAAAACTATTAAACTTCTAGAAATAAACATAGAAGAAAACCTTTGCGGCCTTGGATTAGTCAAAGTGGTCTTAGTTATGTCACCAGGACCATAAACTGTAAAAGAAAACAATTAAGAAACTGGACTTGATTAAAATTTTTAAAAACTTCTGTGATTCAAAAGGCTTAATTAAAAAAAATAAAAAGCCAAGGTATAGACTGGGAAAAATATTTTTAATTTACATATCTGATAAAGGACTTGTATACAGAATATATAAAGAACGATTATAGCTCAATAATAAAAAGACAAGCAACCTAATATTAAATGGGCAAAACATCTGAGTATGTATTTCAACAAAGGTTAATAACAAGCACATGGAAAGCTGCTCAACATTATTATTCACTATGAAACTGCATATTAAAACCACAATAAGGTATCATCACACATCCAGTGGAACGGTTATAATCAAGACAAAACCACGTGCTGAACAAAGATGTAGAGAAACTGGAATCCTCCTCATTCACTGCTGGTGGAAATGTAAAACTGTACAGTCACTTCGGAAAACAGCTTCAGTTTCTTAAAAAGTTTAACACAGACGTGGAACAAACTTACCATATAACCCAGAAATTCCATTCCTAGGAATCTACCCAAGTAAAATGAAAATATATGCCCACACAAAGACCATGAATGCTTATAACAGCATTATTGATATCATACCTCCAAATGGAAATAATACAAATATCCATTAGCTGATGAATGGATAAACAAAATGTGGTATATCCACGCAATGAAATACTATTCAGAAATAAAAAGCAACAAGCTACTGATACATATTACAACATAGATGAGCCTCTCAAAAACATTTTGCTAAGTGAAAGAAGGCAGATTCAAAAGTCTACATACTGTATTATTCCATTTATATGAAACGTCCAGAAAAGGCAAATCTATAGAGACAGGAAGCAAATCAGTGGCTGCATGGGGTAAGAGAGAAGGGAAAAGGGATTGATGCAAATAGGTTCAATGGAACTTTCTAGGGCAATGGAAAACTTCTAAAACTGTATTGCTTTGATAGTTGTATAAATTTACTAAAAATAATTGAATTCTATACTTTTTTATAAATAAATTTATTTATTTTTGGCTGTGTTGGGTGTCCGTTGCTGCACGCGGGCTTTTCTCTTGTTGCGGCGAGCAGGGGCTACTCTTCGTTGCGGTGTGCAGACTTCTCATTGCAGTGGCTTCTCATGTTGCGGAGCACGGGCTCTAGGCATGTGGGCTTCAGTAGTTGTGGCTCGCAGGCTCGAGAACACAGGCTCAGTAGTTGTGGCACACGAGCTTAGCTGCTCCACGGCATGTGGGATCTTCCCAGACCAGGGCTCGAACCCGTGTCCCCTGCATTGACAGGCGGATTCTTAACCACTGCGCCACCAGGGAAGCCTGAATTTTATACTTTAAATGGATGAGTTCTTTGGAATGTAAATTATACCTCAGTATTGCTATTAAAATTCAAAAAAAAGAAAACAGTAACTTACCAGAGCTAACTCCTGACAAGTCAAAATCAACTGTAATCTTTTCTGAAAAGAATGCCTGCCCCCTGGGACTATAGTACAATATGGGAATAACAGGAGATTAAAATAGGTCAGAGGGATCCAATAAAGAAGCTATTCTAACTATGAAAAATACACTGTCCATGGCAGTAACTCAAACTGTTTTATTTTGAAGTGATATTACCTCAGTTCGCCCAAAAAAGTAACACAATAACATACTGTTATGATTACAATTTGTTTAAAAAATAAACATACATAACACCTTCCTTCCATAAAACTTTGTGTTCTTCACATATAGTCCAATGACGCTCTTAGGAGTTAACTTTACAGGATAAAATGTTTCATAAAATGAGCCATCTGTGGTAGAATATAAAGCACTTGATAACATCAGGAAAAGTCTCTAAGTTAAATAACATTAGGGAAAGTCTCTAAGTTTTAAAAAGGAAAGTTGAATGAACCTCAGGTGCTAAGAGGCAGAAAGTGGAGGTTACTTGAGCATGGAACAGGCAATGGCAGGAACAAGTCACCTCATGGGTAGAAGTGGGTTAACGGAGGATATATGTTATGATCATTATGGTAAATGCAATGGAGATTTTTAAAAGTAAGTGTGGAAACCAAACTGGCAAAAAACCTCCATCACTTCATTCTTCAGATAATACTCCAAGGAAGAAGTGTAGGGAATACGCCACCCCTTAAACTAACTATACAGGATAACATATGCCCCCCCGCCCTCAATTTACTAATTTTAAGCTGAACTCACACAATCTTTGATACAAATTTTAAAAAGAAAAAAAGGGCAGTATAGACTATTAATGAAAGATAAAGATGTAGATGGGAAAACTACCAAAATACGATAGTATTCCAGTAAAGGAAGAGTAGATTCACAGGATCGGGGTGGGAGCTGAGGGAAACAGAGCAGATCTGCTGGCAGAAGGCGGGCCCCCAGGGTGGCAGAAGCTGGGAAAGACTGACTTTATTTATCTCACATTTTTACATAAGGTCAACCCTGAAATCTCAAGCATTGAGATAGGTGCAGAATAAATACTCTAGATAAGCTGCTTTCAGAACTTGTAAAAGTATGGGTTTGAAGCTGGATAGGTCTAGTTTGAAATCTGGCTCTTTCATCTCCTTAACTGTGTGGCCTCACTTATTCTCTGATTCCATTGCCTCACCTGTAAAATAGGGCTAACACCATCATCACATCGTTAGAAGGGTATGATGAGGGCAATACCAGATGCTGACGGCTGACAGTGACCATTACCACACCACTATTGCTTGCTGACATTTAGGGCACACTGACCACATAGCGAGTCCACATGAAGCACTATATGTAAACATATACATGTACATACACGTATACACACATAAACTCATTTAATACTATAAAGTATCTTATACCTCATATATAATTTCTTATCCATAAGAAATTTAGGCCCAGAGAGACTAAAAACCAGCTATAGGTCACACAGCTCAAGGAAATGGTAAGCTCTGGATTCAAATCCAGACAGTTTATCTACAGAGAACATATACTTAAAGACCACACATAACACACAGAAATCAGTCCATAAATGTTTGTTTTTATCATCACTACTATATTATACAATCACCAAATTTTAAGTTAGTATGGACTTTTTCATAAAGCCATCAGATAAAAACTCCCTCAACTTCCTGCTTCCAAGTCAGCTTTGATCTGCCTTACCCTCTTCTTCCTCTCTCCCCTTAGATTAGAGAAGTTCATCTAAGGCCAGCCTCTCAGGTGAGCATAATTTATATTTCATCCTCTTGGCCTCCTCAGTAACCTTATCATAGACTGTCCCCTCTCTTGTAGCCTCAGCCTCTTGCTCTGCACTGGAGACTTCCTGACAGCATTTAAACATACTCAAGTATTTCCACTTAGAACAAAATTCCTCCTTCCCCCCACCCCACAGTTCCCTCCAGGGACTGCCCTCTCTCCAGACTCTTCTACATTTAGTCTTCAATCCACTCCTGCCACCATTACTTCTTAACATAGTTCTCCCTAGGTTTCCCAGAGACCTTCTGATGGCTCCATGACTCTTGAATTCATTCTTGGACTCTCAGTAGCATCTAGCAGTGATGACCATTCCCCTCTCCTTCTTGAAACACAGCTTTCCCTTAGCTTCAGTGATGTAATTTACTTCTGGTTTTCCTTCCATATCTCTGGATACTTCTCAATCTCTTCTGCTGTTTCTCCCTTCTCTACCCAGCTATTAAATGTTGGCATTCCTCAATCGGCTGCCTTTTCTTTCTTTTATCTTTCTTTTGCGGTACGCGGACCTCTCACTGTTGTGGCCTCTCCCGTTGCGGAGCACAGCCTCCGGACGGACGCGCAGGCTCAGCGGCCATGGCTCACGGGCGCAGCCGCTCCGCGGCATGTGGGATCCTCCCGGACTGGGGCACGAACCCGTGTCCCCTGCATCGGCAGGCTCTCAACCACTGTGCCACCAGGGAAGCCCCCGGCTGCCTTTTCTTATTTTAAACTCTCTC